TTCTCCCTTCTTGAGATTTTGGAACTATTATTGCATCTCGGTAATAAATCGAAGGAATTTGGTGGCAAAGTCAACCTTCCATTGTTCGAGGCTAGATCGGGTAGCCCGCATAGAGCTTCCAGGCAATGATCAACATTGGTTGTCGGTCATTTGTTGCCTTCCACCATTGCAATCCAATGCAAGGCACAAATAACACTTCAAGCATAGAAAAAAAAATAAAAGAAAGAAACAGACCACAACAACAAGCAGCAGCAATAATTCTATATTTTCTAGGTAAAAGATACCATGGCATATTTTCTAATAATCATATTGATGTGATACATTCAAGAATTGCACGTGAAATTCATTAAGAATCACAAAGTTGATCGTCTATGACGTCCACAAGAGTAGGAAGAATGCGATTCAGATAGTCTTCAATAGTGTCGTCGAATCCAAATCCGACGTCGAAGAACTCAGAACGGGTGATGTGGACGTCGCCGTAGATATCGTACACGAATCCACTATCAAGCTCGGGATCCGCCATGCATAATTGAAATGGAGAGGGGAGGCGTCGTCGTCTCCTTTCCTTGGCTTCTCAATTCACAAGAGAAGCAAGATGGGGCGGCGGGAGCAAGGGGAAGAAGGGAGGCCAGCGGGTGCAAGGGGAAAAGGCTAGGGTTGGAGAGAAGTGTTAGGGAATTATGGAGGGGATTAATCAAAAACTGAAATTTAATTTCAGTTTTGATTAGATTAGGAGGGATTTGTCTTGAATTTTGAATTTCAAATCAAATGGAATTAAGGCATTGATTGGGGAATTAATGGGGGGTTTAAGGAGGGGGAGGCATATATGGGGCCGGCGGTTTCATTAGAGGAGGGAGGGAGGTTTTAAACTCAAAACCCGAAATTAATTTCAGGATTTTGAATATAAAGGGTGAGAAATTAATTGGAAATCAATTTGATTTCAAATTTGGGGGAAGGGGAGTTAAGTAGCAATTAATGGGATTAATTCCCACTAAGGGCCCAGCGGCATGCTAAGAGGAAGAGAGAGGGAAATCCAAGAGGAAAGGTTTCCAACTTTAGGACGATGACGTGGAAATAAAAATAAAGACTCCGATTTAATTTAATTTGAAATTGGAACTTATTCAACAACTTTCCTAAATTGGATTTCCAAATTTGGAAAGAATTTGAAAGTTCAAATTCAAATTTCAAAATCGAAGCATGCGGAGGGGAGGATCGGACGGGTGGGAGAATTCGCTGGCAAGGTGACCGGCCGTGGCCTTGGAAGTGGCCGGCGGCGGGTTTCTCCGGAGGCGTCGGCAACAAAGGCTTGGGTAGGGGCTTTCTTGGGGTGGTAGAGGGAGAAACGGTTGAGGAAAATATGAACTAGGTGATAAAGAAAATAACCACGAGCCGCGGACTCTTCCAACGACTGGTGGGCCTTGCGATTTGCTCCCCTTGAGCTCTCTTCCCTCTCAAGCACTCATGCTAGAAAAGTAGAAATAAAACATCAATTTTCATTCAAAAATTCATTAGCTTTTACAAAGCATGAGACCCCTATAAATAGGTCTTAAAACATGAGGAAATAAAAGTACTCAAATGTCCTTTGGGCTACAATAAGGCAAGACTCCCCATAGAGGTAAACTAGGAAATAAAAATGCCAACTAAATAAAACATGAAATAAATAAAAAATAAAGGCTTTGAATCGTAGCCGTCGATCTGCGCTGTCTCCGGCGATTCACATGCTTGAACCTCTGATCGATGTCCACATCACATATATAACCCTGCTTTGACACAATGCATAAAATTAGGTGTGTTGCCGCCTGGAACATTTGCGGCGGTTTAGAGAGATAGAGTTTAGCATCCTAGCTTTATATGAAGATCTAGCACACACATATATGAGAGAGAAGGATGCAAGAGATATAAAAGACACCATGATTATTTATGTGAAAATCCCCAAAAAAAGGAGAAAAAACATGGGGACTTGCCCAATTTGAATGAATAGTATTTGTTGTTAATTACAAATGATGCCCTTCATCGGGAGAAGGCGTTGGCTCAATGTAACAAATATACATCACATAGAGCACTTTACATAGTTAGGGTTGGAAGAATACAATGTCATGAAAGTTGTTCTCAAGATAACGTTGTTCTGTCCATTTAGTTAGCAGGACCGTAGTTGAGTGATAGAGGTCGGAGGTACCATATTGGGGTGACGGAGGTGGGAGGGACCTTAGTCGGCAGGCAACAGAGGTTGGAGGGACCCGAGTCGATGGGCGAAGGGTAGTCGGAGGGAATGGAGTCGACGAGCGACAGTGGTCGAAGGGAATGAACTCGGTGGACGACGTTGGTAGGAACGAACATAGTCGGTAAACGACAGTGCTCGGAGATACACAAGTCGACGGGCGACGATGGTTGGAGGTACTAGAGTCAGCAGGCTACGATGGTCGGCGTGACCAAAGTCAAAGGGCGTAAGTGGTGGAAGGGACCGACATCGACTTACAGTGGCCGCATGGAACTAAGTCGGCGGGCGACGGTGGTCGGAGGGACAGTACTCAATGGGTGACGGTGTTCAAAAAGATCGTAGTCATCTGGCGAGGGTGATAGGAGAGACTAGAGTCGGCGGGCGACGATGGTCGGAGGAACTAGAGTCAACGAGTGACTATGGTCAAAGAGATTGTAGTCGACGAGTGATAGAGGTCACAGGCATCAAAGTCAGCGAGCAACGGTGGTAGGAGGGACCATAGTTGGTGGGAAAAGGTGGTCGGAGGAACTGGAGTCGGTTGACGACAATGCTATGAATGACCAGAGTCAGTGGCGATAGTGGTTACAGGGACTAGAGTTGACGTGCGAAGGTGGTCAAAGAGACCAGAGTCGACGAGCGACAATGATCGGAGGGACAGTAGTCGGCAAGCGATAGTGGTCAGAGGGACTTTAGTTGGCGGTCGACTATGGTTGAAGGGATCGTAGTCAACGAGCAATGTTGGTCCAAGGTTTTTTTTTAGTGTTAGCAGTTAGCACATAAATTTTTTAAAAGCAGTAAAAATTAATTAAATAAAGTTATAATTATTATTTAAAAATCAAAACAGTAAAAAAAATTATGTCAAATAAAATCTTATTAGTCTATTATGATTCAATTCTAAACTAAACTATCAATCATAAAAACTCTCTGAGTTTGATCATCATTAATATTGTGTAGAAAAGAAGGCCCATCTAAGAATATTCTTTTTGTCAACGTGGCCATTTATATTATAACGGTCAAATTGTACTATTTTCAGCCTGATACAGCATCACAAAATTAGCTTGATCGGGCACAAATCTCGAGGCGAAAGCTAGTTGGAAACTTCAAAAATTAATTCCGAGAGCACCCCAACTCCGATTTCAGCAAGCTTATAGTCGAACTGAGCGTCTCGGAAATACGAACTCAACGACACCAAGATCAACCCAATCCAAGCCC